CAACCCCCCTGTTATGGGCAGGGGCCCCTTTCACTACATCAGTGCTCAAAATCCCATCCAACCTGCATTTGAACACAGTGATGGGACATCTACAACCTCTCTCGGCAACTTGTTCCAGTGTCTCACCACCTTCATTGTAAAAAACTTCTTCCTTCTGTCAAATCTAAATTCACCCTCCTTCTGTTTAAAACCATTGCCCCTTGTCCTGTCACTACAGGCCTTTGTAAAAAGTCTCTTTCCAGCTATCTTTTAAGCACCCTTTAAGTATTGAAAGACTGCAAGAGTCTCCCCAGAGCCTTCTCTTCTCCAGGCTGAACAACCCCAACTCTCTCAGACTTTCCTCATAGGAGAGGTGCTCCAGCCCTCTGATCATCCCTCAGATAATTTTCATGGCCCTCCTCTGGACCCACTCTAATAGGTCCACATCCTCTGGGGACCCCAGAGCTGGACGCAGTACTCCAGGAGGGGTCTCATAAGAATGGAGTAGAGGGTCAGAATCACCTCCTTCCCTGCTGGCCACGCTTCTTTTGATGCAGCCCAGGATACGACTGGCTTTCTGGGCTGTGAATGCATGTTGTCGGCTCATATCCAATTTTTCATCCACTGGTACCCCCAAGTCCTTCTTGGCAGGGCTGCTCTCAATCCCTTCATCCCCCAGTCTATATTGGTTTTGGGGATTGCCCCGACCCAAGCATGGCACCTTACGCTTGGCCTTGTTGAATTTTATGAGGTTCATGTGGCCACACTTCTCGAGCCTGTCAAGGTCCCTCTGGATGGCATCCCCTCCCTCAAGCGAATCAATTGCACCACTCAGCTTGGTGTCACCTGCAAACTTGCTGAAGGTGCATTCAATCCCACTCTCTGTGCCATTGATGAAGACACTAAATAGCATTGGTCCTAGTACGGACCTTTGAGGGATATCACTCATTACTGGTTTCCACTTGGACATTGAGCCATTGACTGTAACTCTTTGGACGCAGCCATCCAGCCAATTCCTTATCCATCTAACAGTCCATCCATCACACCCATATGTCTCTAATTTACCACATAGCCTGAGATGACCTGCTTATGCCAGTAAAGACATGTTTTGACAGTCCTCCAGTGCTCTGGATGAGCTGTCTGACCATCATTGTGGTACCTGCAACTGGCGCCTGGGACAAAAGCATCTCCTTCCCATGGGCTCTCGTTGGTGTGACCTGCATGCCTCAGTGGAGCTGCTCTCGGTGGGTATTGGGCAGAGAAGGGAATAGGGAGCTTAACCTTGTGTGGCTGCTGCTGGTTGAGAAAGGGGAATGCGCAGGGTTGGTATATGGGGAAACGGGTGGTTGGTTTGTGCTCCTGCCTCCTCCTGAGTTGCCCAGCTCCCCACTCCCTATCCCCATACCCAGTCAAAGCCTGGGCTGTCGGCCTCATGACTCTGCCTGCTCTGTCCGGACAACCAATAAAGGCTCATATTTTGGAGGGGGCTGCCCGACCCCTCTCCCCCCGCCCCGCTCCTGCCTGGGGTCCCCTCATTACCCTTGTGGGGTCAAGTTCCCTGTGGGGTGCTGAGCTAACTGCACCTTGTTGAGGGGAGGCCATGAGCAGGGCTGCTGTGACCTGGAGCTTGGCTGACAGCCTCCCCAGGCCTCCAGGGCTGTGCTGGGCAGCTCTGATGTGCGTTTGGATGGGGTAAGTGTTGGGAACCAGTGAGTAGTGGTGCTCCTCCCAGTATGTCTTGGGCAGGAGTGTGTCCTGTGCATGTGCCACGGGCAAAGCTGAGAGTCAAGCATGATCTTTGCTCCTCCATAGCCCCTGTGTCTGATAACCCAGCCCTCTGGGATCTGAGACATCCCAGGCGGGTCCATGGGAGGTTCTAGAGGAAGAGAAAAGCAGGAGCTGCTGAGGAGCATGGGGGATGGTTTAGTAGCTCTGAGGGTTTCCTCAGGCACTCAGCTGGCACTGGAGGGCAGGGTGGTCTGCACACTTGGGGACAGAGGAGAGTGATTCCAGGCTGAGGGGGAGGAGGAGGAGGCAGCTTTGGGCGGAGGAGCAGGGAAGGATGAGAGAGGGTGTGGGCTGAGTGTGTCTTTCAGAAGGGCCAAGGACAGCTTCAGGCCTTGAGGTACTCCTTGCAGTTCGCATCCCTATTGCTATCCCTGCTTCTTGCCAGCTCTTTATGTGCTTTCTCAAAGGTCCTCCACCTCCTGTAATCGTTGAGTGCAAATACAGTGACTCATCACAGCTCTAAAACCCATGCAGTGGCGTAGGGAAGCACATGGATATTGCCTCAGAAATAGGAGCAGTGCTTCTTGAATGCATTCTGGTAACTAGGAGGGTTTTGAGGAGAAACGCTGGGATCCTGGTGCAGGGATTCTTCTGTTGAGTACCAGCCCCAGAATGCCCCTGGGGAAAAAAGGCAGCAAAAGGCAGCAGCATGGCACTGAAGGGAGGTTCCCTCCCCAAAGAGGAAGCCTCCTGTATCTCGTGAGATTTCCCCATGTATCTGTTTCCTTCCTGTGGTTGCAAGTCTTGCAGTCAGTTACAGATGCCCAGGCTCAGAGGCAGCGAGCGGGGCTGAGATTTCAGTCCTGCCTGGGGACTTCATGCTAGCATGGCCCTGCAGTTGCTGGCTCTGAGCTTTCTCCTGCTGGCAGCACAGGGCCAGGAAGAACCTGATCCCAAGGTCCAAGGAGTGCCCTCGGAAACAGGTAAGAAGCGGTTCCTCCTCTCCCCTGGAGACATTTTGCTGCTCCTCCCCCTGCAAGTTTGATGTGCAACTTTACTGCATGCAGCCCTGGGCTGGAGCCCAGGCGGACCCCTGAGGGCTGCGTCAGCTGAGGCGCCTGCTGTCTCTGAGACACCCCGAGGGGCAGGAGCTATGGTGTGGTGTACTGGGAGTGCTGTGGGAAGGACGGGATTGGGCTGGATAGTCAGGATGGGTCATGCCCTGCACTGAGCCAGTTTGCCAATCGTTCCCTGGAGGCTGCAGGCATGAATCAGGCATAAATTTGTGCATTGTGAATCAGGGGAAAGGTCTTCAGGGAGCAGGGCTACCACTTTCTGTACACATCCTATCCCCAGGTGTGCCCGAGGGACACTGTGCCTGCTGAGAGCAGAGCAAAAGGGAACTTGCTGCCGCTTTGCCAGCTGGATGGGCCTGGGGAGCAGCTGGGTGCCTGTGAGTGGGGCAGGTCGCGGCTGTGTGTCAGTGGGACACAGCTGCTGGTTGCGGTGCTCAGCTGGGCATCTCTTGCCTTCTGTAATCAGGGTTGTTTGAGAGCAAAGCCTGACCGTAAGTGGCTTGTTCACCAGCATGTCTGAACTTCTTTGTGGCTGCTCAGAAGATGGTCTGAACCTTGTGAGATCCCTTCTCTGCCCCTTTGGGAGAAGAAAGTTTGTATTTTAAGCACTTTGAAGCCTCCCAGAGACCCTTGCAGAAGCTGGAACAGGGAAGTGCTCCTTTCCAGGTGCCAGCACCCCTGCCTTTAGGAATTGTTGCCACAAAGCTTCCCCCTCCTCCTCCCCCCACCCCCGGCAGCACTCAGCAAACTGCTGGGACAGGCTGTGCCCACTCAACCCAGAGGATGGTGAATGTGGTGAGGAGTGGATGTGGAGGAGGGAGCAGGGCTTGTGGCAGGTAAAAGGGGCAGGGCTGTGGTAAAGCAGGGGATGTGAATGGAGAAGGCATTGACCATCCCTATGTCCCACTGCATGGTGGCGTGGGGAACGAGGAGGGTAGCCGAAGGATTGATTACCCCAGGAGTGTAACAGGGGCATCTCTGATCCCTGTGGGAGGGATGAGCCGCAGCTGGAGAGACATGCACTAAGTCCAGCAGGGCTGGTGGACCGTGGCCCATCAAGGGCAGCCTTGGGTGGGTGACGTGTTTGAATGACTGGCTGGAGGGGGTCTCCTAGTGCAGGGAGGATTGTCCTGGGAAACTCCCTGCTGTGGGCTGTGGAGGAGGGAATATAGTGTCCCTGGACGCAAGAGTGATGGGGAGGTTCATGGATGAGCGATCATTCATGCTTCGGGTGCACAAGGAGAGCCCCCTCCCAACAAGCCTTGCCTGCGGGTCACATCCTGGCAGATGGATATGTCACCTTCCCTCTCCCTTCAGTGGCTGGAGATCCCCCAGCAATTGCTGGGGATTTCTCTCCCACCATCCACCCCTGCCACACCTCATCACCTCCCACTCCATCTAACACCCACTTTCACCTCTGCCAGAAACATGCCAAAGGCCCCAGTGGGACACAAGACTCCAGCTGGCACCAGACCAGGAGAATTACAAGAAGAACGACGAAGTGATGCTGAGCTGCCCTGAGGGTTTCCAGCCATCCTTCACCCGTGTCAAATGTGCAAGGGAAGTCCAGTCCATCAGCCATGGGAAACCTGTACACAGAGCAGTTTGGCGTGGAAGGGACAGCAGAGGTGACTGGATCCGCATTCGGTCCAACGTGGAGTGCATCGGTAAGGGAGGCATCAGGAGCTCTCCTGGCTGCCCCCCGCCGAGGCTGTGTGTGCACAGAAGGTTTCAGGCTCTCTGCCTGCCTGGGGAAATGGTAGGTGCTGCTGAAGGCACTATCGAGGCAGTCCCTGAGTCTGCCCTGAGTTCAGCCTGAGATTCACCAGTGGGTGGGAAGTTCTTGCTGAAAGTGCGGGCAACAACAGTCTCCCTGAAGACGTCTGGCAACAGCATGTGCACGAAGGAGAGAAGCATGGGAGAGCTATATGTGGTGGGGTTTGTGGTCTGTATGGCATCACGGTTGGGGCAGGAGGATCAGAGGGCTCTGCTGCCTGTGTCCTCTCAGACTGTGCAGCTATATCCCAGCTTGCTCCCCGTAGGCTGGTGCCCTCCAGGCTCTGTGTCATGGTGGGCACAGGCTTGGCACCGTCTTCTCACAGCTGGGGGCACTGAGGTCCTCTCCAAGGGAGAACAAGGCAATAGTGGGCTGATTTGGGAACCTGGTGAGAAGTCCCTGAAGTTTTGAAAACAATAGCCCTCTGCGGGTCCCCAGCTGACCGAGTGCCCTGAGACCCGGGCCAGAGTGTAGGAGGACTCAGGGCTGGTTTCCTGCAGGCAGCTGTGAGCATGGGTAGTGTGGGGAGGTCTGTGGGAGGGGAAGGGGACTCTTCTCTTATGACCCCCCCCACCGGGGACAGTTCCATATACGGCCCAAGCTTTCAGGGTGTCCCACCTGGTACCTTTAGGTGCTTTGCTGACTTCACGTGGCAGATTCCTAAGGCATGAAATAGCCCTGGCTTCTCAGACAACGCCACAAGGCACTAGGGTCAAGTGCTGGTCCATCAGTCACTATGGGCGCAGTGCAAAGCTTTGTGCATAGTATGAGCCCCTCGTGGGTGTCCCAGTCCCTGCTCCTCCTGGCATTTCCTGGGAGGCCTGGGGGAAGCAGTGCGGGGCCCTTTTTCCCCTCATCCCCTTCCCGGGGATGTGGTGTAGGAAGGGTACTCCACATGGTGTCGTAGAGCTCTATCTCTCACTATACTGCCAGGGAAAATGAACCCTTCTCCTGGGGTCTGTGCAGAGCAGGAAAAGCTAGGTCTTTCCAAGAGCTGCGTCTATTGGACTGTAGAGATGCTGGGACTCACAGACACCTCGGTTTTGATTGGGTGGGGAAAAAGGCCTTGAGCAATAGTAGTCCACATATTCACCCACATTCATTCCTGTCCAGACTCCTCATGCTCCCCTACCGGAGGGCTGGAATAAACAGTTTCAGCCTCTTGCTTTCTCTCCCACTCAGCTGGGTGGGGAGCAGGGCTGTCTGACCACAGCATCCTTGCAAGGCTGGGAGGGGAAGGAAGGGAAGTGATGCAATGTTTCCTTCACAGAGGTCCTCCAGGTTGTCCCCGGGACCTTGGAGATTTCCAGCACCAGCATCAAACTGAACTGGACCTGCAGGCTCCCTGATGCCTGCCAGAGCATGCAGGCCAGGTGCCGGCTGGCAGGGCCTTCCGCTCCTCCCTGTGAGGCTGAAGAAGTGAAGGGAGAGGAGAGGCTACATGGCCAGGAGGGAACATTTACCTGTCCCCCTCTGCAGCCCTTCACTGACTACAGTGTCACCATCTCCCTGCCCTCCAGCACGATCCTTTTCACATGGTTGATCAGGACAGAGGAAACAGGTGGGTGCACACAAGTATAGAGGGAAGGGACAGTCCTGGGCTGTGTCACAGGTAGGGGAGGTGGATAAATGTCCCCCTTACCCAGCAGCTCAGCCTGATCATCTGCTCCCTGCAGTGATGGTCCTGGGTTTGGGGCTGCTTGGAGCCTGTGGGGCTCTGGGAAAGGGGCTGTGCAGGACCCTGAGCACAGCCCTCACTCTGCCCCTCCTCACCACACTGTTGTTGCTCCTGCTGCTGCCGTGGCATATGCATCCTTTCTAGGGGACAAACTCTGCTTGGGGAGCCCATTTGCAGCCTGTCCCCTGGGCCAGAGCTGCCTGCACCCTGCTCTGGGATCATCCCTCCTCACCGGCCCCATGCATGACCCCGTCTCCTGTGCTTCCAGTGCCGGACAAACCAGAGAAGCTGTGGCTCGGTGCCCGCCC